ATTAAAATCAACCCCAATGTCCATCAATAGGGAACTCCCAGAATGAACTATTACACACCCACACGACTGTATCATACAACCATAATAAAACGAAAAATCTATTCATATATTGCTATCGAGTCATCTCTAGGATATATTGTTAATGAAAGAAGCATATGGCTGAATAGTACATACAATTTGGTAACATTTATTGGGGTGTGGATATACATTACATATTTATATATGTATACACATGCCCACCCATTGTTTTTTTGTTTTGTTTTGTTTTTTGGAAATAGACTCTCATTCTGTTGCCCTGAGTACAGTGCTGTGGTGTCAGCCTACCTCACAGCAACCTCAAACTCCTGGGCTCAAGCAAGCCTCCTGCCTCAGCCCTCCAAGTAGCTGGGACTACAGGTACGTGCCACTACGCCAGGCTAATTTTTCTATTTTTAGTAGAGCCAAGGCCTCACTCTTGCTCAGGCTGGTCTCAAACTCCTGACCTCAAGCAATCCTCCCGCCTCGGCCTCCCAGAGTGCTAAGATTACGGGTGTGAGCCACTGTGCCCAGCGCCAGGTGTGTTTATACTGAGGAAAAAAAGGGGGCAGCAAACCAAAAACTAGAAGTTAATTGGTTTTAGATATGACACCAAAGTCATGATCCATAAAAGAATAGATAAGCTGGACTTCAGTAAAATTAAAAATTTCTGATCTGTGATACAGTGTCAAGAGAATGAAAGGACAACCTACAGAATAGAAAAAATATTTGCAAAAGACATCTGATAAAGGACTGTTCTCCAAATACCCAAAGATATCAAATTCAACAGTAAAAATGGAAATATCCCGAGTTAAAAAAAAAAGATGTTGGGGCAGGGGCAAAAATCTTAACAGACACTTCCCCAAAGAGGACATACAGATGGCAGGTGAGCATATGAAAGATGCTCCACATCATATGTCATCAGGGAACTATAAATTAAAACCATGAGCTGCCCCACACAGTTATTAGAATGGTCAATATCCGGAAGAGTGAAAACACCAAATGCTGGCGAGGATGTGGAGCAACAAGAACTCTCATTCACTGCTAGCAGGAATGCAAAAGGGTACAGCCACTTTGGAAAACAGTTTGGCAGTTTCTTACAAAACCAAACATTTTTACCATCAGGTACAGCAATCGTGCTCCTTGGGATTTACCCAAAGGAGTTAAAAATGTATTCACACAAAAACCTGTACACGGATGTTTATTGCAGCTTTATTCATAATTGCCAAAATTTGGAAGTAATCAACATGTCCTTCAGTAGATGAATGAATAAACTGTGGTATATCCAGATAATGGAATATTATTGAGCACTGAAGAAATATGCTATCAAGCTATGAAAAGACATGGAGAAACCTTAAATACATATTACTAAATGAAAGAAGCCAGTCGGGTGTGGCGACTCACGCCTATAATCCTAGCACTCTGGGAGGCCAAGGCAGGAAGACTGCTCAAGCTCAGGGGTTCGAGTCCAGCCTGAGCAAGAGCAAGACCCTGTCTCTACTAAAAATGCAAAAATTAGCCCGGTCTGGTGGCACATGCCTGTAGTCCCAGCTACTAGGGAGGCTGAGGCAAAAGGATCCCCTAAGCCCAAGAGTTTGAGGTTGCAATGAGCTATGATGATGCCACTGCACTCTACCCTGGGCGACAGAGCAAGACTCTGTCTCAAAAAAAAAAAAAAGAAGCCAATATATTATATGATTCCAACTATATGATATTCTGGAAAGAAAACTATTAAGATAGTAAAAAGATAAGTGGAGAAAAATGGATATGGACGAAGAAGTGGAGCACAGTATTTTTAGGGCTGTGAAAATACTGTATGATACCATATAATAGACACAAGTTATCCAGACCCATAGGATGTACAACACTAAGAGTGAACCCTAACGTAAACCAAGGACTTCAGGTGATAAGGCTGCATCAATGTCGGTTCATCCACTGTGGCAAATGTGCTACCCCATCGGGGGTGTTGATAATGGGGGAGGCTGTGCCTGTGTGAGGACAGGGGGTATGTGGGAAATCTCTATACCTTCCTCTCAGTTTTGCTGTGAACCTAAAACTTCTCTAACATAATAGTCTTTAAAAAATAAACAGGTCATATCTATAGGAGTTCATGGAAAAACAGAATGAAGCTTTACAAAAGAAAACAAATGAGCCCAAATATGTATCAAGTTGATGGCTTAATGACAAAGGAATTCTCTCAAAAGAATTCGTTGCATCTTTATTGGGATAGCTAAGGAAAAAAAATGCAGGAATCAGTTTTTTTTTGGAATCAAACTTCTATAAGTAATCATATTATTAGCAATGTTGGTTATTTTCCTGAAACTATTTTAGATTTACTGACTGATAAATGGAATAAAAGTCTTTAGGAATGAAGATGTTTAGCTTAAGAGAAGAAATACATATGAAAAAAATGAGGCTGAGTTTTAAAAACCTTGTAATCCTAAATTCGATTTGTAAGCATCATTGTGAACTCTCTAAAAAAGAAAGTCTGTCCACTGAAAAGCCTAACACAATGACCATCTCCACTAAAACTTCTTAGCATACAGTCTTTAAATAATATATCCTGCTAAAAGGATTTTATAAGAGCTGGAAATATGCAAGATAAACGTAGAACACCACAAAGCAAGGAGTCCCAAGACTACTGAGATGTGTCTTAAGGATCCAGGTAACAACTTCAAGCATCTCCTACTAGATAAGTCTGGGACAACGCAAGACAGTATTAAACATAACTTCTACTGATTGAAGGATATAAAAAAAAGTTTAAATCCATGAGTTAAACAGTATTAATTTATCATTAATTATCATCAAATCTGAGTTCATTCTGATAACCCCAAAAACATTTTTTAAAAAACCCACAAACACTGCTCACCTTCAGAAAATGCTAGGGAACCAACTCAGTCTTAAAGCTGATAAAAAGAATAAAGCATTGATT